CAAATTCAGCCTGTGCTGGTCTGGATGGCTCATAGAAGTGATTCCAGTTGATCCAGAAAGGGACAGATGATGCATGTTCTTCTTTTAAATCTGTCATTTATGATTTCGAACTTTTCAAATTGATGAAATGGGAGTTTTTAATTTTACACAGGCTAAAGCCTTAAACGTAAACAATTGCCCAAGTCAGGGTGAATGAGCATTGACACTGCAGTGATTCCTGCCATACCTGCCAAACAAGGTCCCAGGGAGACTATACCTTTAACACAATTCAGGCCCTTTGACCAGAGATTCTTGACATCTTGCTAGATCTTTCCTAAGATTTAACTATCCCTACAAGCTAAATATGCCCAAATGGAAAATCATGTTCAAATTCCAAAATTGTATAGTAGTGCTTTGCTGTACTACCAAAAAAAAAAAAAAGTTTGTTTTATCAAATCCGTCATCTCTCTTGACCAGAAGGAGACAAGAACGTCAAGAGTAAGATTCTCCTGGGCCTTTTGTTTTTCTATCAGAAAGCTGATTGCTGCTGTATGGTTCCTTAATCCTCAGTCACTTGGGAGCCATTCCTTATATGTCCTTCATTGGGAGCCTTCCTTTCAGGAGGAAGTTCTTATTTGAGAGAATTCTCAATGTTATACTTACCTCCAAATCTTCCAGAATACGCTTTTATTTTTAGGTTATCTCGAAGTTGACTTTTTAAGTTAAAATACTCAGGTCTTGTGTCCTTTCTCTGGAGAGAGAATGTTTTTGAGGGGGTAGATCAGCTAGCTGTGTAACACTCATTAGCATAGCAAGCTGGCGGACACACTGACGCAGGCCGCCTGCCTCAGCAGCTGGGTTGGTCAGAATTGCTGTAACAGTCTTTGTCTTCCTTTTATCCTGCCTAATAAGGACTATTTATGCTATTCTAAGAAGCACTGTCATTTAGTATTTCACATTTCATTCTTCCAACTTGGTACTTTTGTGTTCTGCCGAGGAGGAAGAAAGGTGCTAACTTTAGTTATACTTTCTAAAATTAGCTTGAATGGTTTGGTTTTATCCTGAATAAAGAAACCCGGCTATATTTTGTTATTTATTTTATTTGACAGCAGTGACTTCACCCTGAAATGACAAATTATCATTATGAGAGAGCTGTCATTGAGTTCTACATTTATTTCTTCTCAGCAAAATATTCATCTGGTTTAGAGAAATGTTAAATAGGAGAGAGGAATGATATGCATTAGTAAGTATGCTGAAAAATGTTCAATCCAACTCAAAGAGATGCCAAATAAAGCAACACTAAGATTCACGTATGGAATTAGTAAATTTTTTTTATGATGATTTCTAAATCTGGTGAGGTGTTACTTATATATATATATGTGTGTGTGTGTGTGTGTGTGTGTGTGTGTGTACCAAGAAAATTGGTATAACCTTTCTGAGAAATAATTTGATGCTATGTATCAGAGGCCTTAAAGTGTTTTATGCTCTTTTGACCTAATTCCGTCATTTTGAAAGTACATGCAAAAAAAAAAAAAAATCATATGAAGAGTACAGAGATGTTTACAACATTATTAGTAATAAAAAAGGAAAGTTGAAAATTTAGTAGGGGAATGATTTTGTAAACTAGGACATACTCATGTGTGAACTATATGCTTCCATCAAAAATGATACTGAAAGAAACTTCATAACATTATCAAAAAAGCCTATAATATATGAGGCAAAAACAGATCTCAATATTGTGCCATTGAATTTTACAATGGCATAACTGTATAAAACTGATAGGTCAGCAAAAATTATAAACTGGACAAAGAAAAGTATCCCAAATGTTAAGTCTTTCACCATGTTTCCCCTATTTAAGAAGCATACTTTCAATTTGTTTTTCTCTCTTATATTTCTCTCTTATCTCAGTGGTACTCATATATAATGCTATCTTATTCTCCATCAAAAATTCAGTGTTTATAATTTGTGCCTTGTAAGCTACGGTTGTGATGAAGTGAAATGTGTAGTTTGTGAAAGTGATTTGTTTCTCTCCCGGGTAATAGTTAACCACTTCTGTGAGAAGTTAGAAGTTGGTATCTTTAATGCTTTCTTTTTTAATGTTATATTTTGTGTATTTCATAAAATTATTATATATGTTGGAAATTTTAGAACCATATCAGTGGATAAATTATCTTTCAGTCTTGTGATGCATAAAATATAACAATATGCTTGTGATTTCTCCTTAGGAATTTTTCAAATTGAGACTGATTGCGGAGGTTCCAATTGACCAGCATTCATAGGGTAAGTAACATCTTGAATTGTAAACACATGGTAAAGATAATTACAATTAAGTTAGTAGCTCAGGGCAAATAAATACTGAATACTTAGTATGTAAAAGAAATTACTGTTCTTACAGATGTTTTGAGTAAAATCTTTCTGAGGTTTTTAAACCACTTAATAAACAGAAAATTAGATCTGTATACCTTTTAGTAAAATGCCACCTTCCTACCTTTTGTGGATTGTGTATACAGGAAAGTATATGTGTATATGATATTTGTCATTTTTTAACAGTAAAATCTAAGGAATATAATAAATGTTCATGGTAGACTTAGAGTCCATGTCTGTATTTTTCTGATTTTTGTTTAAGGTAGGATTTCTAATGCATAGATTTGGTTTGCCCTATTTCTGTTAAGTAAAAGATGGCCATACTTTCTTTGAGTAGGTACGTCAGAAATAAACAAGCCCTGTACTCTGTTGCTTCCTACAAACATCATTCTTTTGTAATTGTAGAAGATTAATCTTGTTAGTTTATAGCATTGCTTTTAGCTTTGACACATGAATGAAGAATTTGTATTAAATAGCACAACTCTCTAATGTTCTGAATACAGCTTGAAAGTGTCACCCAGCTCTGAACATACAGTCTAGGTAAATCAGTGGTGAGGACGGGGGTCTGTCTGTCACCTACTACATTCTAAACACCCTTCTTTTTTACAGATGAAGGTGAAGGTCCTTTGATGTCTTAGGTATATTCCTGTTTCCATTCTGATTCATTGAGTTAACTATAAACTTTTTAAAATTTTTTAATTTTGACTTTTATTTTAGATTCAGGGATACATGATCACGTTTGTTACAAGGGTATATTATTGCATGACACTGAGGTTGGGAGTAAGAATGATCCCATGACCCAGGTAGTGAGTATAGTATACAACAGGAAAACTTTCAGCCCTTGCCTCCCTCCCTTCCTTTCTCCTTTTGGAGTACCCAGTGTCCGTTGTTCCCATCTTTATATCTTTGCATATCCAATGCTTAGCTCTCACTTATAAGTGAAAAAATGTATTTAGTTTCCTGTTTCTGCTTTAGTTCACATAGGATAATGGCCTCCAGCTTCATCCATGTTGCTCTGAAGGACATGATTTTATTCTTTTTTATAGCTATGTAGTATTCCATGGTGTATATGTAACACATTTTCTATTACTTTCTTTTTCTTTTTTTTTAACTTTTATATGAAGTTCAAGGGTACATGTGCAAGTTTGTTACATAGGTAAACTTGTGTCATGGGCATTTGTGGTACATATTATTTTATCACCCAGGTATTAAGCTGAGTACCTGTTAGTTATTTTCCCTGGTCCTCTTTCTTCTCCCACTCCAGCCTTTGATAGGCCCCAATATGTGTTGTTCCCCTCTGTGTGTCCATGTGTTCTCATCATTTAGCTCCCACTTATAAATAAGAACACGTGGCTTACAGAACATTTGGTTTTCTGTTCCTGCATGAGTTTGCTAAGGATAATGGCCTTCAGCTCCATCCATGTCCCTTCAAAGGATATCATATCGTTCTTTTTTTATAACTGCATAGTATTCCATGGTGTATATGTACCACATTTTCTTTATCCAGTCTATCATTGATGGACATTTAGGCTGATTCCATGTCTTTGCTATTGTGAATAGTGCTGCAGTGAATATACACACACATGTGTCTTTATAATAGAATGATTTATATTCCTTTGGGTATGTGCCCAGTAACAGGATGGCTGGGTTGAATGGTATTTCTGTCTTCAGGTCTTTGAGGAATTGCCACATCATCTTCCACAATGGTTGAACTAATTTACACTCTCACCAACAGTGTATAAGCATTCATTTTTCTCCACAACCTCACCAGCATCTGTTTTTTGACTTTTTAATAATAGCCTTTCTGGCTGATGTGAGATGCTATCTCCTTGTGGTTTGATTTACATTTCTCTAATGATCAGTGATGCTGATCATTTCTTCATGTGCTTCTTGGCCATGTGTATGTCTTCTTTTGAGTAATGTCTGTTCATGTCCTTTGCCCACTTTTTTATGGGGTTTTTTTTTATTAGCATTCTTTTATTTTAGAAGTTCACACCTATAATTTCATAACAATTGTGAAAATGATACTCAGAACTAGATATTTTGGTAACACATAGCAGAAATCTGTGGTTAAAGATGGTCACTGCAAACTTAAATCAGCATTCAATTCTGTCTTTTGTTTTTGTACAGAATCAATATAATTCTGATTCATACAGATAATAACTTAGTATCTTAACCTCCACTCATAATCTACACCATAAATGTAGGTTAGCACATACCTAAAAATTGTTAATGATCCAACATGGTCACATGTGACATGGCACACTTGCACTTGGTACCAAACAAGCTGACAGTTCAATGAGATTTGATCAGCATATGCACCTGAGCCTTGTCTGTCCCCTCAGAGCACTGTACACAGGTAGTTAAAGAACTTTTATACAATAAGAAATTCACAGGGATGAAGCCAGGCACGGTGGCTCACACCTATAATCCCAGCACTTTTGGAGGCCGAGGCAGGTCGATCACTTGAGGTCAGGAGTTCGAGTCCAGCCTGGCCAACATGGTGAAATCCCGTCTCTACCGAAAATACAAAAATTAGCTGGGCGTGGCAGCACACACCTGTAGTCCCAGCTACTCAGGAGACTGGGGCAGGAGAATCACTTAAACCCGGGAGGTGGAGGGTGCAGTGGGTCAAGATTGCGTCACTGCATTCAACGACAACAAACAAGATATTCACAGGAATGAATTTAAATAGGTAAACAGCAGTGTAGAACTACATCCTTCCTAGTCATTGACACCTTTAGATCTTAAATAGGCACAGAAATAACAAAGGGCTTATACTGACAACTGCACAAAAACGAGTAACTTGGCAGCACAAGGTAGGGATTTTGTGTGTCACAAGAGTATAGACTGTTCTACTTTCATGCTCTGCTCATTGCTATATCCCTTTGTGATTCCCTGAGATTCAGGTGAAATGCCCGTCTAATACTGCCTGGAGAAGGGCCTCCTCCTCCTCAGCTGCTTCATAATCCTTTATTAGTACCAGTAACTGCAATAAACTAGGGGCTGGGCCATCCTCCGGCAGATTAAGCTCTCTGCGAACTGTTCTGTGGACTGCCCCAGCAATGACTTGGTCTAGGCGGACCTGATTCACAGCATCTCTCTCAATTGCTCCTTTCTGTACCAGCTTCTGCAACAAAGGCTCCAGCCTTAGTACATAATCAGATAACTTTTCTTCCTCCTTCTGGTAAGTGTTTAGAAATTTGTCATGCAACTCTCTAGGACTATCTGTAACCCCAAATACCTGCTCAAGAGCCTGCAGGCATTCATCAACAGTAATTAAAGGATTGTTTATCTTGAGGACACGAATAACATCAAGTGCTGGGCCTCAAAGGCTCTCTAGCACTCGCCTTCTCTTCTCTGCATCTGACACCTCCCACACCTTTAACATCTGAGTAGTATGAAACAGCCAGGGTTCAAATTCTTCTTCTTCCGGTTCTGGAGAATCACTGCCTGAGAACACGCTCAGCTTTTTATAGTGGAAGTACTGCAGGGCAGGCTCAAGAGCCTCATTTAATGCCTGTGCCAACATAGGGGCCCACATTTCTGGGATCATGCCCTGCCCTAGGTCTAAGGAGCCATTTTCATATCTAAGAGCTCTGGTCAACTCACCCATTGTCATGCCCTCTCCCTCTAAAAATTCATTTAATCTGCTTAGAAAATCATTATCTGGGTCGGGGGTCTTAATGAGCACTCTCCAGATACCCCCTTTTCCCGGTATCTCCTTAGGGACCAGTGCACGACTAGTCTCCGCAGCAAGCCCGACTAGGGCTACTTTGCAGTTCTCATCCCTCCTGAACATCCTTCCAAGCAGTCTATACTCCCCTAGGGGAGCTAAACCAGCCTGCAGCGCCTCCTCGATTTCTGCCACACTGCAGCTCTCGGGGATGCCGGCAATCAACAGTGCTTTCCAAGGGCTCATGTCCATCCCCCAGCACCAGTCTTCTAAAAGCCTCAAAGTCATGGTGCCCGAAATAATAGACTTAAGTTCTAAATATTCCAGACCACAGGTAGCCACCGCAATTCAAAGTAATCCTCCGCAGTATCCCAGAGAAATCTTGTCAACGTGGCGAGGTCCAGCATCCGTGATCTGCTGCTCCGTGCTCGCATCTGTGCGCCTGCGGGCAAGGTGCCTGGCCAGGCCCAGAGAAGGGGCCGGAGGGCGGGCTCCCCTCGGCTCGGACGGACACTCGGGGGCCAAAGCGATCGATGCCGGTCCTCCAAGTCCCTGCGATGCTCTCCGCAGCAAGGAGTGATGAGGCGATGACAGTCACGAGCGGGAACCAGAGGGCAAGGCTGAAGAGCGCTGAGTCGCCAGGCCCATGAAGGGACGCGCTGCCACCTGCAACACCAGAGTCGGGTATCCAGCCCCAACTCATGGGGTTGTTTTTTATTGTAAATTTGTTTAAGTTCCTTATTAGACCTTCGTTGGATGCGTAATTTGCAAAATTTTTTCCCATTCTGTAGCTGTTTACTCTGTTGATAGCTTCTTTTGATGTGCAGAAGCTCTTTAGTTTAATTAGATCCACTTGTCAAGTTTTGCTTTTGTTCCAGTTGCTTTTGGCATCTTTATTATAAAATCTTTGCCCCTGCTTATTGTCCTGAGTGATATTGCCTAGGTTGTCTTCCAGGGCTTTTATAATTTGGGGTTTTATGTTTGTCTTTAATCCATCTTGAATTAAGTTTTTATATATGGTGTAAGGAAGGGGTCCTTTTATGTATACGGTGTAAGGAAGAAGTTTTAATCTTCTGTATATGGCTAGCCAGTCACGCCAGCACCATTGATCAAATAGGGAATCCTTTCCCCATTGCTTATTTTTGTCTTGTTGAAGATCAGATGGTTGTAGGTATGCGGTCTTATTTCTGGGTTCTCTATTCTGTGCCATTGGTCTTTGTGTCCATTTTGTACCAGTACCATGCTATTTTTGGTTACTGTAGCCCAGTAGTATAGTTTGAAGTCTTTCATTTCAACCTTAGAGAATCCGTTGATTATATATCTTGGGATGATCGCTGCACTTCCTGAATTTGAATGCTGACCTCTCTAGCTACCTTAGGGAAGTTTTCATGGATGATACCCTGAAAGGTTTTCCAGGTTGATACCATTTCTCCCGATCTCTTTCAGGTAAACCAATCAGCCATAAATTGAGTCTTTTATATAGTCCCACATTTCTTGGAGGCTTTGTTCATTCAGAAAGGCTATCTTCCAATTTTTAGATTCTTTCCTCTGCTTGGTATCTATCCTCTTCCTATCATTTGAAGGGAGCAAGTGTGATTCACAAGAGACTGCCTAGGGACCAGTTTTGTGCTATATATTATGGCTTGCTTACTGTGGGGTGGGGGGTGGTCAGAAAAATATTCTTAGAAACAACAAAAGGTGATGGAGAAGGATTTGAGCTGCTTTCTGTTTATACCTTCTCTGTAAGAATTATCCAGCCACTGGTGGCTTTTGCTTGTATTAATATTACAAGAATGTGGCTGTAACTTCTTTTATTTTAAATAGATTTTAGAAAATATGGTAGCTTACTAAAAACATCAAAAAATTGAGAGATCTTTTCCTAAAAAGAAAAATATCTACATTAAATATATGATATATTCTATAACTGCCAGAAATAAGTAAAAGTGAAGCATTATTCCGTAAAGTTTAGAACCATTCAGATTTCATTAGGATTTCTATAACTTTTCCCATGGTTTTAACTCTGTCACTTTTTCATTTAATCTATTACTTGCTATTTATAATTATTTATTTCATTTATTCAATAACTTTCTTCAAGAGCTTCAGATGATTAAGGTAATTCTCTTAGTGTTTAGAGTATTTGTAATTGTTTCCCAGACCCATTATCTCACTACAGCTTTGGGTCAGAAGCTCTGGAATGGCAGTTATGCATCTCTCTTCTCCTTTGGTTTCTCGGTATTATTTTACCATGATGTCAGCTTCTTTCCTTGAATTCTGATTTCTGTGTTCTAGAAATACTTTGCTTCTCCTTTACCTCACTGACCCTGCTTCCCTATCCGTTTTCACTCTTCTTTGTCTATTTTATAGAGGGGAGAGTAATTGTGTCCGTCATTCACTAAATTCTTTCTCTCAAAGAATTCATTTCTGTGGCACTGACCACCACTTAAATCTTCATGACTTCCGACAGTGGGCTAAAGATGGCTGCTAAGGCTTAGCAACTCTGCCCATCAAGAGGTGGAGATGATTTCCCCACCCTTTGAATCTGGTTGCCTGTGGTAGGTTTTTTAATCAATAGAATATGGCAGAAATGGTAGGGAGTAATTTCCAAGGCTGGGCCTTAAGAGACTTGTAGCTTCTGCTTTTGTGTGCTTGAAACATTCCTTCTAAGATTTTAGTCTCTTCGCTGTGAGAGAGCCAGATTAGCTATAGAGAGGTCTGGCAAGGCTCCTAGTCGACAGCCCAAGCTGGGCTCACAGCCAACAACCAGTAGAAGCACGAGTGTTGTGATTGAGGCACTTTGGACCTTCTAAGTATTCCAGCATTCCAGCCGATACCATGTGAACTGCCATATCATCCCACAGAATCATGAGAAATTATGAATTGTTACTTTAGTCACTAAGTTTTGATGTGACTTGTTTTACAGAATAAAGAACCAAAACAAAAATTTGTACCTAGAAGTGAGATGCTGCCATAACAAAAAATCTGGCATTTTGGCTTTGAGACCAGGTGTCAGTGGAGGCCCGAAGGGCAGCTAGAATACTATTGCTATTGGAGCATGTAAAATGGTACCCTTGTTTTATATTGAGAAAAAATTCAGCAAGACCATTACCTGCAGTAACATGGAACATAGAAAATGAACCTAATGGACTTGTGGATTTAGCTTAGGAGATTTTCCAGCAAAATATCAGAAGCTCCAAGTGATTCCTTTAACTTCTTTTTTAACTCCTTTTTTTTTTTGATACTGTGATCAAAGTATTTCAAGAAAGAGACCAATTAAAGAAGCTATTTTGATTTTAAGTAGACTTTAGAGGAAATATTTCCAATCCTGAATTTTCTCAGATGGTAAATCTGAGTCTCATCCCCAGCTCCTCTACCCAGCAAAAGTACTCAAAGAAAGAAATGGCCTCAGCTCCGAAGATCAGATCCACAACGTTACTCCCACTAAAACTTGCTCTCAAGGTGAAAATAAAAGCAAAGGCATAGCTGTAAGACCCTTTATTAAAACTTCAAAAAGATTTAAGGCAGTGCCTCATAGAACCTCTCAGCTAGATGGCAGGACTTCTAATAATTTCAAGGGCCTTGTCCCACAGCATCCTGAAACTGATTTAGATGACAAGATCCTGGACTTCAAGCCTGAATTTGATGCCACAGTGGGATGAAGTTTTTCGGAGAGGGTTAATGTGTTTGCATATAAGAAGAATGTAAATCATTTGTGGCTAGTGAGTAGACTCTGGTGGATTAAGCATGGCTGCGGACTCTTTGCCACTCCTCCCATTGAAAAGGTGGAGTCCACTTCCCTTCCCCTTGAATCTAGACTAGCCTTTGACTCCTTTGGCCAATAGATTTTGGTGGATGTGTCACTGTGTAGCTTCAAGCCTATGCCTTAGAAGAGCTGCAGGTTTTACTTTTGTGCTTGGAATGTATCATCTTACAACCCGCCACAGCTCTTTGAGTGCTGTGTGAGGACACTCACTGAAAGAGCCACATGGAGTCTCACATGAAGGAATTACCAGCCAGCAGTTAGCACCAACTACCAGCCTAAGGAATGAGGACATTTTGTACCTTCCAACCATCTGGAAGGTATGCCAGCCAACACTATGAAGTAAAAGAACCTCCCACAGAATCTCAAGAAAGAAAACCTTTTCTTAAGCCATTAAGGCTTGGAATATGCAGAACAGTTAGTAAAAACCCTTCCTTCTCTATTGCTGCTGAGTTCTTGCCTCTCCCTAGGATAGGCTCTTATCACCCTGAATACACCCTAAAAGTTTGAATGGTTGGGTTTTTTTTTTTTTTTTTGGCTGCCTTTTTCATTTTTGTACATTTAGTTATTATATAAATCTATATTGTGCACCATGTGCTAGAAACTGTGTAAGATACTATAGTATCATAGGGACAAAATCTGAATCCACTTGACTCCTGCCTCTCTGTGGACCTCTTTATCTGATGTTGCTAGGTGGTAATGAATTTTAATTTCCTTTGACTATTTTATTCTTTGCTTTCTTTTTAAACATGTTGTAAAATTTGCCCATATTCGTTCTCACCCACGTGATTGAACTAGCCTTTCAGCTGTTCCCATTGTTCCTAATCCCTCCTGCATGTCTCCATAGCTCAGTGACTCACTGTCCTACTGCCTCACGTTCCTGAGTCTCTAAAGCGTTCATGTGGAGATGGTAGCTGTTACTTTGTAGTCTGCAGAGGGGAGAGAGCATCCTAGATGTCTAGGGCAACTTACAAGAGGACTTAAAAGATAAGCACTTTTCTCAGACACTTTATTGCCAATCTATCCTGTAAGCTTTCTCCTGCTGGGGAGATTTGGCGGGGGGAAAGATTTCTGGACTCTTCTAGACCAATTAACTTGCTCTGTGGGAGTAGGGCCTGGGTTTAGGTTTTTTTTTTAAAAGTGCCCCAAGAGGTTCTAAGGTGAAGCTGAGATTGAAAATCACTGTCTCAGATTTGTGATTCTTGAAAAGTGGTCCTTGGACCCGCAGCATCAACATGAACTAGGAACTTGTTAGCTACGCAGTTCTTGAGACCTACTGCTTACCTTACAAATCAGCAGCTCTGAGGGATGTACTCATCACTTCATGTTTTAATAAGCTCTTGGTGATTTTTATGTACATTAATACCAGAGAATCACTAGAGAAAAATCTTTCTTTCTAGGTCTTAAAACTACAACTGAGTTTGGGAAGTGTGTTTGTTACTTGAAAATCACTGTACTGACAAGAAAATCACTGTACTGACAAGATCTGAAAGAACTGGAAAGGGACATAAGGAAACTGGTATATCAGGTGTTATTGCTGGTGATCACTTAAGTACTTGAAAAATGTTTAATGCTTGTCATTAAATCTCTCAAGAGTTGTTAAATGAGTTACTTAGTATAAACAAAAGGGGCACATTAATCAGAGATACTGTTGCATTGTTTCCTAGAGAGAGAACTCAACAAAAGGTAAATTTAAATCTCAGCTAGATATATGTTAGTCCCAAGAAGCATCTTGATGGGAAGTAGCACTGAATATTTTGAAAGGATATAAGGTGATTTTTAAATCAATTTTCAATGAGAGTAGTATAGAGAAGTACTGTTTTTGTTGTTGTTTTTTATTGCATTTTAGGTTTGGGGTACATATGAAGAACATGCAAGATAGTTGCATAGGTACACACGTGGCAGTGTGATTTGCTGCCTTCCTCCCCTTCGCCTATATCTGGCATGTTAACCACTGTTTGAAATTGTTCCACGATAATCCCTGCCTGGGGTCAGAGACAGATGTTTGAAGTAGCATCCACTCCTCAGTATATAATGACTCTAAATACCATCTGATCATCATTTGTTTATTTTTTCACTTGTTATTCTGGAAATGCTTTCAAAGTAAAATAAGGACTACTGCAACGTAAAGATGCCTAACTTGAATGTTGATGTTACAGTCTTAGAGACTTTGGAGTGAAATTGTCAAGTGAATTCATGTGTTTTGAAAAAGCTTTTATGACTTCTTAATGAGGTTTAAAAGCTGTAAGAATGGGATTAGAACCGTAAAATCCATTACTCTTAACATTTCTTTGAATTGATTTGGTGTGTTTGTATATTAGAAATAGAGATCTTATTTCGATTGAATCACCATCGTTTACTGAAATATGGTCTGGAAACAATTTCCTGGACACAAGACAGTATTAAATGGCATAATGACAAAGGATAGCTATGCTCAAACTCTCTAGTTAAGTACTTCATATAGGAATATTAGCATCATTTTATATATAGGAATGCTGAGACATTTTATATATACTTAAATCCAGATGCTGTATATTTAAATATTAAGTTTTAGTTCAGTAGAAAATATTTAGTAGGAAAATGTTTAGCTGAGAAAGTAGATTATATGTAATGGAAGACATTATAGGAAACTACCTTTGCATCTTTATTCAAAAGATTATAATAGAACCCAGTTGTAATGCAGATATTGGGGTGAGTTGAGAAAGAGTGCTAAATAGCATTTTCTTCAGCTTTTGAGAGATCTAAGACTGTGGCGTAGTTAATTGAATTGACTGAGGCCATGTGGTCTGGTGTACATGAGGTTGGGATTTGAGTCTGAGGACTTAGGTTCCAGTTGCAATTTTATTTCTTACGGGTTTTGTCACCTTTGGCAAGGCAAATTCTTTGGGCCTGCCTTAATTTCTATGCATATAAACATAAAGAGTAGTACTATTTATATCAATGGCTTGTTGTAAGTATAAAACAAATTAATGTAAATGAAACATGCTTTGAAGGTAGAAAAACAGATACTAAATTATTAATAATAAAGTAGAAACTGTATTTCTAATATTTAAGGAGAACTATATAAGAAGAACCATCATGGCTAAGTAGCATCTTTGAATTATGCAATAAATTCTTTTCTGGCATGTTATAAATGCAGCCACTATAGAAGAATATGTAAAATGTTTCACACATCAGATGTCTTTATCATGGTCAGTACACATAAATGCAGTTGTGTATTATATGTTGTAAGAATTTTATAAAGGCTTGTGAATTGCGAATGAGAAATTTATACTCCACTGCTGTGATGTAATGATGAATTAGTGTACAGCTAGGTTGTTAGACACACTAATTGTGCTTTCTAACCTGCAGAACAATTGGATGCTGGATGGTGATTACTTGTAAATTGGGCTTTGCACATGACTTGGTAAACCCAAAATAAATGTATGCCCAACTTCTATTTAATTTCATATTTGAAATGACAAGTTTACAAGGTTATTGCTAAAAATATCTTAAATACAATTTGGGGTCAGTACTCTTAGCAAGATTTGAATTACTTTTTAAAAAGGATCATATCTTCAGAGAAAATGTAAAACCTCCCTAGAAACTTTTTTTTAAAGTTTCATAGGCACTAAAAGATATAATTTTTACACTGAATTAAAAACAAATTCTAGGGAGAACGATCCAAGATGGCCGATCGCTAACATCCCGGGATTGCAGCTCTCAGGGAAGGCGCGGAGAACTAGAGGACGCCACACTTTCAGACAAAGCCTGGTCGCTCACGGAGCAGAAGATCCCCCAGTGTTGGAAACACACCAGTCGCCAGCGCGACTCTCGTGGTCAGGGCAGCGGTTCCGCAGGCACCTCGATGCGGCAGTGCTCGGCGCAGAGTAAACGGGACCGGTTCCCCTTCTGACCGAGGTTTGGAGCCCCGGGAAGGCAGAGTCACCTACTACGGACACAAGAAGGAAGCCAGACAGGAGAATCCTGGGCAGAAAAGCACCATCAGTCTTAACGCCGCTGCTCTGGTCCTGGGAACTAACAACCTGGACGTCCACTCAAGAGACCTAATCTGAAAGTTGGTAAATTCAAAGATGACAGGAGGATAAATTTACAATGACGGGAAGAAACCAGCGTAAAAAAGCTGAGAATACTCAAAGTCAGAACACCTCTCCCTCTAAAGATGATCACAGTTCCACATCAACAATGGAACAAGGCTTGATGGAGAACGAGCACCTCCTGATGACAGAATCACTCTTCAAGGAATGGATAATAACAGACTTCGGTGAGTTAAAAGAACACGTTGTAGCCCAACATAAAGAAACTAGGAACTTTGACAAAAGGTTTGATGAAATCCTATTGAGAATAGACAACTTAGAGAGGAGTATGAGTGAATTAATGGAACTGAAGAATACAATACAGGAACTCCGAGAAGTATGCACAGGTTTAAACACTCGAATTGTTCAAGCAGAAGAAGGGATATCAGAGGTCAAAGTCCAACTTAATGAAATAAAATGTGAAGAAAAGATTAGAGAAAAAAGGATAAAAAGGAACAAGCAAAGTCTCCAAGAAATGTGGGACTATGTGAAAAGACCAAATTTACATTTAATAGGTGTACCTGAATGCGACGGAGAGAATGAATCCAAGCTGGAAAATACCCTTCAGGATATTATTCAGGAAAATTTTCCTAAACTAGCAAAGCAGGTCAACATTCAACCCCAGGTAATACAGAGAACACCACAAAGATATTCCTCAAGAAGAGCAACCCCAAGGGACATAATCGTTAGATTCACCAGGGTTGAAACAAAGGAGACGATACTAAGGGCAGCCAGAGAGAAAGGTCGGATAACCCACAAAGGGAAGCCTATCAGACTTACAGCAGATCTCTCGGCAGAAACTCTACAGGCCAGAAGAGAGTGGGGGCCAATATTCAACGTCCTCAAAGAACAGAACCTTCAGCCCAGAATTTCATATCCAGCCAAACTAAGCTTCACAACTGAAGGAAAAATAAAATCTTTTATGAACAAGCAAGAACTCAGAGATTTTATTACCACCAGGCCTGCTTTACAAGAGCTTCTGAAAGAAGCATTAAACACAGAAAGAAACAACCAGTATTAGCCTTTCTAAAAATACACCAAAAAGTAAAGAGCACCAACATAAAGAAGAATTTACACCAACAAATGGATAAAACAGCCAGTCAACATCAAATGGCAGTAACCCTAAATTTAAATTGACTAAATTCCCGATCAAAAGACACAGCCAAAACCCAACGGCATGTTACATCCAGACCTGTTTCACATGCAAGGATACACAAAGACTCAAAACAAAGGGATGGAAAAAGATTTACCAACCAAATGGAGAGCAAAAATAAATAATAAATATAATAAAAAGCAGGAGTTGCAATTCTTGTATCAGATAAAATAGATTTTAAAGCAACAAAGATATAGTGGTAAAAGGATCAATGCAACAAGAGCTAACGATCCTAACACCCAGATAGGAGACTTAGATTCAATGAGACAGAAAATTAATAAGGATATCAAGGACTCGAACTCAGATCCAGAACAAGTAAACTTAATAAATATTTATAGAGCTCTCCACTTCAAATACACAAAATATACATTCTTGTCAATACCACATCACACCTACCCATTAGTTTAAATGAAACATTGATTGGCCATTATTAATACCCAGTTTTTTTCAAAATAAAGCAATATTTTCATTTACTCTCCCTCTTTCTCTTCCTCTTTCTTCCTCTCCTTTACTTATTATTTTTTTTTTTCTTTCCTTCTCTCAAAAAAAAGAAATCAACTTGTAAACCTCTAGATCCAGGTCGGCAATGTCTCTTTTATTGCTTGATTTCCTTTCTTCCCTTCCCTGCCTCCCTCCCTCCCTGCCTGCTTCCTCCCTTCCTTCCTTCCTTCATCCCTTCCTTCCTCCCTACCGTCCTTCTTCCCTTCCTTCCTGCCTTCCTCCCCCCCCAAAAAAAAAAAAAAAAAAACAAATTCTAGCATTTTATAATTTTCTTACAGTTCAATTATCAATATATATGTAATTAACTATCACAAATTTTTGAAGTATAAATTTTATAAATGGCTTTTATTAACCTCTAAATTAAATCTAATATAAAACTTAGCTATGTTTAATAATTACATAATTTCAAGTAATTTCAGCCATATTTCTCTACCAATGAGATTGGTAGGCTGAATTTTAGGAGCACTGAGACTTGTTTGGATAGATGTTTGGTTTTAAATATGGGTACAGAAATCACATGGTGTGACAACCCATCTGAAAAATGCAAATAAGAACAACTGTGTATGAGGAATGAGTGAGAGAAATTAACATATGTCGACTCCTTAGAAAAGCTAAGTGTTCATCTAAGTATTGCAGATACAGAATTTTAAAATATGTTGTGTTTAAATTTCTGTAGGAACTTCCCTGTAATTGAAAGGAAGTTCAGGGAGTGAATATGGTTTAATGAACGTGGGTGGGGCCCTGTAATACAGCTTTGCCAGCATGTGCCCCAGTGTGAAAAGAAAATGATCTATGAAAATCTAAGCCGGGCACAGTGGCTCACACCTGTGTTCCCAGCATTAGAGAAGCCAAGGTGCAAGGATTGCTTGAGGCCAGGGGCTTGAAAATCGATTTGCCATATCATGTCTTATGATAGAGAGGGTTTCTAGAGACAGTATCGCCAGTTTGTTTGTTTAAATGACTACAGCTATTTCAAGATATTTATGTTTTCTCATAGAATGAAGAAAAACACAGAGATGGTGTGTCTAAGAAACTTCAAAAGGTGTAGACCTCCTGACTGAAGCATATCGGATTTATTTAATTTTTTTCATTATAGTAAGTATAAATATTTAAAACATTATTTTGGTCAATGTTGACTTGTACTTCTGTTGAATAAGTATTCACTCGGTCAAATACCCATTTTCATTGTTAGAGCTATTGTTGTTTTCATTCTTCTGCAATTTCAGTTGCATATCTTAAATGAATTTAATTTTCAGGACCTTTGAGGGGACAAATAAAACATGAACTTAAAGCTGAAAGAACCCTTTGAGATTTTCTGCTTCACTCTTTTTATCCATTACAAGCAATTCCTTTGCAGCTTCCCTGATGGCTGGTCATTTTATTTATCAAGATCCTGCTCAGGACACGGAGCTGAACTGTTTCACAGAGCAGCCAGTTCGATAACTTTCCACCACAGATTGAATCAAAATGTGATATTATAAAGCTTCCACCTACCTGGTTCTACCTGGGGAGAAAATCTACTGTTCTTTCACCTGTGAGGTTGTCGCACAAAAATGTAAAGAAATTCTTGTGCTCACCTAGTCACCTGTTATCTCAGCTGAATACCATCAGGTGCCTGTGTTCCTCTGTAGGAAATGGTTTGTAAACAACAGCTTCTGGTTGCTTTTTTGCCCATTTTGTCTTTAACTTGTAACTGAGTATTCAGTTTCAGAATTGTAATCTCACCAGACAGGCACAGAAGGACTTTTCCTCCTTTATCTGGTTTCACCTACTAATGTGGCCTGAGGTTATAATCAATATTTCAGCACAACAGCTATCACATGATTAGCTGAAAGTCTGCATACATGTTAACTAAAATCCTAAAGTATTTTTCACATGTTCTTGCTTTCATCCAGCAGTGTTTTCTACCATCCCTCACACCCCTGGCCATATCATATTTATAGTATTTTGAGGTCTAAGCCCAGGACTTCCTATTTGTCTCATGTAATCCTCTCATTTTGGTTTCTGTCTTACCTTGACACACAAGTATGTAAGGCAGAGAGGTTAAGCAGAATGAGAAGGATTGAGAGTAAGAAATAGACCCACTAAACTAGAGTGAAGGAGAGAAGCCCTGGAGGGGTATATAATCCACCTGCAGGTCCTAGGAAGAAGTTGCGTTTATATAATGTGATGCCCAGAAAGGACCCAAGGAGAAAATGGTGCTCCAGTCTAGCAATTAAGCACAGAAATTGTGGAATGCCCTAACAGGTACAAGAGCATGAAGCTGCAGGGTTCAGGGTCAGATGATCAGGAATATGCTGAAGATGAGACTTATTAACAGGGAGCAGGGACTCTGTAATGCTACTCTAAGGTTGAACTCAGGATACCAGACCCCAGAAAGAGAGCAAATGGAGTAAAAAGGTCTTCCTTGGGGATGCTACCAATACTAGGGTGTCTAGAGAGAAACTCAGCAGGCCCAGAATACATAAGACTTAAGACTCAAGAAAATCCAGGAGAAGCCCTGGCGCATAGGTTAGAGCTGGACCCAGCAAAGGGGGACCATGCTACCGTTATTATTTTTCTTCTTTTTCTTACCAGATATTTTCTAAGACCCATATATTTCCTTTTTACCTTACTCTGTGTCATCTTATAGATGATCTGGATTTGACTGATAAGCAATTTTTGCTGATGTATGTTTAAGGTTCAACATAGAAATTCTCAAGAATGTTGTCTAAATACTTTTCAATATGAAAATACAAGATAATCTTCTTTTCCTGAAGGCAAAAATAATTTAATAATAGTATCTGCATTAATCATTTGTCCTTTCACTACTTTGCCATCACAAGGTTAAACATGAGAAGGAGTCCCCTTGATACAGTATTCTAGGAGAGCTTTTCTTCCTTATTCTTTTTTAAGCCCTAACTGTTGCTTCCCAACTTTTAAATACTCTAAGTTTTTTAATACTCATGTACTTAAATTATAAAGCAAAAGTTCATGCAGAAGGGAGATAATGCTTTCAGTGACAGGCTGTTTTGGGCATAGAATCGTAGATCCCTCTAAGTCTAAGGGGTAATTTTATAAAGTAAAGCTTGCTTAAAAGAGGCTCCTCATGGTGATCAAAACAACTCTCGAACTGTAACTGATGCTCCAGACGTGGGACGAGATAATGGAAGGGAGCTTACTCAGACATTCTGGAAGGTATAATGTGACCATTAGAAAACAGGGGGCAGGTATGGTGGCTCACAGCTGTAATATGGAGGCCAAGCGGGGAGGATCACCTGAGGCCAACAGTCCGAGGCCTGTGAGACCCAGAAAGAAAGAAGGAAAAAGAAAGAGAGATAGGAGAGAGAGAGAAAGAAGGAAGAGAAAGAAAGGAAGGAAGGAAAAAAAAAAGGGAAGGAGGGAGGGAAGGAAGGAAGGAGGGAGAGAGAAATTAGCATAAAAACAAGTTTTTTCAATGTCAGTTGAGGGAGGAAGGAAGGGAGGTGGAGGGAGGGAAGGAATGAAAGAAAGGGAGGAAGGAAGGATAAATTAGTAGCATCAAAACAAGTTTTTTTCAATGTCAGTTGAAGAAAAATTGGCTCCTGGTTTTTAGTAGCCTAGCCTGGATTTGAGATACAAGAGGTAACAAGATAATGACCTCAAAGGCTACCCCTAAGTTTCTTTCTAGTCACCATGTAAGAGACTGTGGCTCAGAGTTGTCATGACCTATGGTTTCAAATGAAACCAGAAGACTTAGGTACCCCTTGACCAGCTCTCCCTTTTAGGTTTTATCCCAGAGCTAAATCCTACTTGGGAAGGAGAGTATGTGTGTATTAGCATTAGAGTTAAATGCTTATTTGAGTACTTGCTTCAGTAGTATTTCTTTTATTTTCCTCTTCCAGTTTCTGTACTCCTCCAAGGGAAAGTCATGATTACACTAACCGAGCTAAAATGTTTAGCAGATGCCCAGTCATCTTATCACATCTTAAAACCATGGTGGGACGTGTTCTGGTATTACATCACACTGATCATGCTGCTGGTGGCCGTGCTGGCTGGAGCTCTCCAGCTGACGCAGAGCAGGGTTCTGTGCTGTCTTCCATGCAAAGTGGAATTTGACAATCACTGTGCTGTGCCTTGGGACATCCTGAAAGCCAGCATGAACACATCCTCTAATCCTGGGACACCACTTCCGCTCCCCCTCCGAATCCAGAATGACCTCCACCGACAGCAGTACTCCTATATCGATGCCGTCTGTTACGAGAAACAGCTCCATTGGTTTGCAAAGTTTTTCCCCTACCTGGTGCTCTTGCACACGCTCATCTTTGCAGCCTGCAGCAACTTTTGGCTTCACTACCCCAGTACCAGTTCCAGACTCGAGCATTTTGTAGCCATCCTTCACAAGTGCTTCGATTCTCCATGGACCACCCGTGCCCTGTCAGAAACAGTGGCCGAGCAGTCAGTGAGGCCTCTGAAACTCTCCAAGTCCAAGATTTTGCTTTCGTCCTCAGGGTGTTCAGCTGACATAGATTCCAACAAACAGTCATTACCCTACCCGCAGCCAGGTTTGGAGTCAGCTGGCATAGAAAGCCCAACTTCCAGTGTCCTGGACAAGAAGGAGGGTGAACAGGCCAAAGCCATCTTTGAAAAAGTGAAAAGATTCCGCATGCACGTGGAGCAGAAGGACATCATTTATAGAGTATATCTGAAACAGATAATAGTCAAAGTCATTTTGTTTGTGCTCATCATAACTTATGTTCCATATTTTTTAACCTACATCACTCTTGAAATCGACTGTTCAGTTGACGTGCAGGCTTTTACAGGATATAAGCGCTACCAGTGTGTCTATTCCTTGGCAGAAATCTTTAAGGTCCTGGCTTCATTTTATGTTATTTTGGTTATACTTTATGGTCTGACCTCCTCTTACAGCCTGTGGTGGATGTTGAGGAGTTCCCTGAAGCAATATTCCTTTGAGGCGTTAAGAGAAAAAAGCAACTACAGTGACATCCCTGATGTCAAGAATGACTTTGCCTTCATCCTTCATCTCGCTGATCAGTATGATCCTCTTTATTCCAAACGCTTCTCCATATTCCTATCAGAGGTCAGCGAGAACAAACTGAAACAGATCAACCTCAATAATGAATGGACAGTTGAGAAACTGAAGAGTAAGCTTGTGAAAAATGCCCAGGACAAGATAGAACTGCATCTTTTTATGCTCAACGGTCTTCCAGACAATGTCTTTGAGTTAACTGAAATGGAAGTGCTAAGCCTGGAGCTTATCCCCGAGGTGAAGCTGCCCTCTTCAGTCTCACAGCTGATCAACCTCAAGGAGCTTCGTGTGTACCATTCGTCTCTGATAGTAGACCATCCTGCACTGGCCTTTCTAGAGGAGAATTTAAAAATTCTCCGCCTGAAATTTACTGAAATGGGAAAAATCCCACGCTGGGTATTTCACCTCAAGAATCTCAAGGAACTTTATCTCTCCGGCTGTGTTCTTCCTGAACAGTTGAGTACTATGCAGTTGGAGGGCTTTCAGGACTTAAAAAATCTGAGGACCCTCTACTTGAAGAGCAGCCTCTCCCGGATCCCACAAGTGGTTACAGACCTCCTGCCTTCACTGCAGAAACTGTCCCTTGATAATGAGGGAAGCAAACTGGTTGTGTTGAACAACTTGAAAAAGATGGTCAATTTGAAAAGCCTAGAATTGATCAGCTGTGACCTGGAACGCATTCCACACTCCATTTTCAGCCTGAATAATTTGCATGAGTTAGACCTAAAGGAAAATAACCTTAAAACTGTGGAAGAGATCATTAGCTTTCAGCATCTTCAGAATCTTTCCTCCTTAAAGTTATGGCACAATAATATTGCTTATATTCCTGCACAGATTGGGGCATTATCTAACCTGGAGCAGCTCTCTTTGGACCATAATAATATTGAGAATCTGCCCTTGCAGCTTTTCCTATGCACCAAACTACATTATCTGGATCTAAGCTATAACCACTTGACCTTCATTCCAGAAGAAATCCAGTATCTGAGTAATTTGCAGTACTTTGCTGTGACCAACAACAATGTAAGTAAATCCACTCTTTATTCAGTATCTGCCATACTTGTAGTGTGTTACACAGGGAAAGAAAACACACTTCAAATCATATTATATATTCTCAAGCCAAGCCCAATCCATTTTGCATAAATTACCAAAACACTGAGCATCCATTTTCAATCTAACTTACAAGTTGTCGTGGAGATTTTATGAAAAAATATATAAGCATCTGGCACAGTTCCTGGCACATAGTAGTTGCTCAGCAAATGTTTTTGCTTTGTTTTCCTTCCCAATTTCCTACATAAACATCACAAAGTATTTTAAACTATTTAATTTGTTACGGTAGAGATTTTTGTTTTATAAAGGTGTTAGGTATTTAGGGAGTTTGGTTAAACTTTTTAGTTTTCCAAATCTGTCATAATAAAATAAGTTTTTTAAATGCTGGGATTATGAATTATTCATAAATTCTTTTTGTGATGTGACGAGAAAGATTTAAAATCTGCATGTATGTCTAGAAAGATGATTCAAAATGAAAGACCTGCCTCTATAATGCAACACTAGGGCTTCTTAGAAACTTTTTCCAGGATCCATGCTTTAGAATGAACTATAATTTGCAATAGTAAGGCCAAGTTAAAGAAAATTTAACTTTACCAAAACATGAAAAAGTAAAATAAATGAGTAGTTTCCTAGGTTAAGATATGGAGGAGGAGGAGGAAAAAGGAAAAATTCACTGTAGTCAAAAGCCAAGAGAGTGAGGCCAGAGTCCATTTGGGACGAAAGAGGGAAAACCCAATCAAAAATCAAATCTGCCAAGGGATGAAACTGACGTTTCTCTACATGAATATGGGTACAGCTATTCTACCACACTTGAAAATGTATTATCTCTTATGACTTTCTGTAGTTCATATTTCATGGTAAATATAGCTATGAGCATGGTGATGTCTAATAAATATATGAATCATCAGACATTATTTTTGAAAACCATGGGTGTTAGAGAAATACCAGAAAATTGAGGGATGAGAACAAAATTCATGCTGATTTTTAGAACTCTGGGACTTTATTCACATATAAAAAGAGCCTATTGTAAGGCAAATGAGACATCTTCAGATCTTAAAGGTTTATGAGATTTAAAAACTACATGAGGATTGATCTAGACTAGCAGTGTGATTCAGAATTACCCAAAGGGCTTGCTGAAACACAGTTTGCTGGGTCCCGCTCCCAGGGTTTCCGATTCAGTAGGCCAGATGTAGGACCCAAGATTTTACATTTCTAAAAAGTTCCCAGGTGGATCTGATGATGCTGGCCTAGTGACTGCACTCTGAAAATTATAGGTCTAGAAGTATATCATTAGTGCCATTTAATTATGCATCTGATTAATATTAATATTTTGGTCACATTTTTTCCATTGTTAAATCTGTAACTAAAAATATAAATAATTATTTTGAAAGGCATTGGTTCCACTAAGCAGTTACACACAGTTAAATCACCTTCAAAAATGGATTTTTGAAAGTCATAGCTTATTCAGCTGTTAGCTGGCCATGCATTATTTAAATGTATGAGCAGGTGATCGTTTTTACCAAGCTAATGTAATGAAGAAGGCTTGAGACCATTAGTATTTTTGACACCAAGTTTATGGAATCCTAGACCGTATCCAAAACAGAGCATAACTGTCAATATCAGACACATGCTTTCTTGAATAAGAAAGAATACTTTGGAGCACATGAAAAGTCTTATGCTGAAAATACTTTATAAGCAAAGTAGAATGGTATCTTTTTGAGTACGTTGTCCCAGAAACCTGAGAAAAAGTAGTTGCTGAGCATCTTTGGAGCCAAAATGATGAACATGACATCTTTGAATTGGAGAACTTAGGGTCAAAGAAGCACTGTGCAAAGACTATGTAATAATATAAAGAAACCGAAACTCACTCAGAGGACAGCCACCAGGAAGATGAAAACTCTGATAGAATAGTTTAGCCTCATGATGGGAAGTATGGGTGGGTGGGAAGGGAGAATTGTCCACAGTATTGGTCTTCAGATATTTGAAAAATTTACATGGAGAACAAAACTTGTGAATAGCCACAGTGTTTGAACTTAGGGCAAGTGAGGAGAACTGGGGCCAGCAGGGGAAGATTTCTCATCTTTCCCATGTAGCTATTTAAAGATTGAGCATTTGAGGAGGGAAAAGTAATTTTCTTATTAATAAAACTCTCCAGACAGGGACTGGATACTCAATAGGAATGTCGTTAAAGGGCATCGGGGAATTCACGTTTTGTGTGGAGATTTAACTAATTTCAAGATTAGTTCCAACCTTGAGAGTCTCATGATTCTAAGTTAGATCAAAATATTGGATCACAAGGTCAGGAGTTCGAGACCAGCCTGACCAATATCGGGAAACCTGTTTCTACTAAAAATACAAAAAGTAGCCAGGCATGGTGGTGCCTGCCTATAATCTCAGCTGCTCAGGAGGTTGAATCAGAATTGCTTGAACCCGGGAGGCGGAAGTTGGAATGAGCTGAGATTGCACCACTGCACTCCAGCCTGGGCGATAGAGCGAGACTCCATCTCAAAAAAAAAAAATTAGAAAATATCACAGTGGCTGTGTACATAGTTAGATATATGTATACTCAGAAACTTAAGCCAATTAGTCCATGTGGAATAGTGGTCAGTAAAGATTCCTACAAGAGGCATTTTAAACTTCTCAAGACTTGGGCAATGTATCAGGTTTATAGATGGAGGCAACGAATACTACCTCTTAAGCAGAAAAGACATCAGTTGAAAGAATATTAGATATCTCATATTACCACCAAAAAGACTGCAAAACCAAGCTTGGGAAACAATCAGTTACAAAGTCAGTCAGGCAGCAGTGAGAACTATAGCCAGAATCAGAGTGGAAAAGCAAAATGGTGA